GTTTCCAGCAGGCCACGAAGGGGACGTCTTGTAACCCAGGCCCACACCCCTCCCCAGCATTGGCGGCACTGCCTGTCCCCTCCTCTCAAGCCACCTGCCTCCAGAGTCTGGTGGAGGACTTCTTGCTGCTGGGTGGCACCGGGTGATGGCCGTGTGGGTGCTCCTGGCCGCCCACGCCCCTCCCCACCCACAGCCCTGAGAGGGGTCTTGGAGAACACAAGGTCAACCTCTGCGTTTTACACAACGGGGAAACTGAGGTCTGGGGTGGCAGACGGACCTCTGCTCCTTAGTAGCCGACCCTGGACTGGGGCCCCAGGCCTGTGGACTCCCAGCTCAGTACTTTTCCCAGCAGCCCCTGATAGCAGACTTAAAAGCCTGAGGAGTCTTCAAGTTCAAGAGCTCCAGACGACAGACAGACTGGTAGGACTGTGGGGCTTTGAGGGGCTCTCAGGGATGAGTTGCCAATGTCTCCCCAGGGGCCAAGGAGAAGGGAATGTTGTAAAGACCCCTGCCCCCCACCAAGGTCGACCCCAGACTGTCCATCTTCACTTCGGTACTTGGCCAAGACCCCCGCCGCCACCCTGCGCTCCCAGGACAGGCAGCCCCCGGGCTGGGCGGGCCTCCGTTTGCCGGCGCCCTCCTCCCCCACCCCTGCTCCCGGTGTGCCCGGGACGGGCCAGCCCGGGCCGCAGCACCCGCGCACCTGGGGCGGGTCCTCCCCTCGGCCAGACCCGGGCTCCCAGCCGGACCCCCGCGCCACCACCCCCGTAGCGTCCTCAGGGGCGGAGAACCACCTAACTCACCGCTCCCCGACGCACGCTGGGCCCAACAACCCCTGGGTCCCTGGGAGCTGGGCGGCCGGGACTCCCGCAGAGTTCCCGGGCGGGCCGGCGGGCGCGGGTGAGTCAGGGCGGGCGGGACAGGAGCCCGGGAGCCGCCCCGGCCCGCCCCCGGGACGGTCGCCCCGCCCGGTGGCAGGAGCTCCCAGGTCGACCGCGCTCCCGGGCGCGCAGTGTGGAGGGTCCCGGGCAGGCTGGGATCCCGGTCGCACTGGGCGGACGCGGGCAGGGGGCTCAGCACGCTGCAGTCCGGCTAGACGCCGGCCGCCGGGGGACCCGGGAGAGAGCTGGAGGCCCCGGGCTCCGGAGGCCGTCCTGGGGCCTCCCTTCGGAAAGCCAGGTGGCACACACCTGGTCAGGAAGATGTGGCAGGGCCTCCTCCCACCTCCCCAAGGCCCAGACACCTGGCCTCAAAGTCCCACCAAGCCACAGGTGACCAAAGTCTTCAGGTCCCCTGGGGCGGGGGTAGGAGGGCAGAGGAAAGGGGACCCAGGCTGAGGGCGCCCCCCTGTCTGTCCCTGCCCAGCCTTGTGGCCTGCCCTCAAAGAGATGGGGCAAGCTGCTCCCAGGTCCTGAGAGTCGCAGAGCCTGGAGGGTTTAGGCAGCTGGAGACCACGTCCTCCAAAGGAAACTTGACCTCCCCACCCCCACCCACTCCTCCCCACCTAAGAAGTCCTGGGCCTAATCTCAGGGGAACAAACATGTGTGGTTGAACATTGATCTGCTCTCAGTCTGAAGTCCCTCAGTGGAAACTTCCCACCTGGACTAGGGTGGGAGAGTGAGACCCCTCCCCCACAGGGAAAAAGAAGCCCCAATGGGGACCCTTAAACCAGGGGCTCACTGGGCATGCTGACCCCAGGGAGTCCAAAGACAAACTTTCCTTGTGTATTTAGTAGATCTTTACTTTCTTTTCTTTCTTTCTTTTTTTTTTTTTTTTTTGAGACAGGGTCTTGCTCTGTCTGTCACCTAGGTTGGAGTGCAGTGGCATGATCACATCTCACTGTGACTTTGAACTCCTGGGCTCCAGCAAGCCTCCCGCTTCAGCCTCCTGAGTTGCTGGGACTACAGGCATGCACCACCATGCCCGGCTAATTTTTAAAACAATTTTTTTGTAGAGATGGGGTCGTACCATGTCACTCAGGCTGGTCTTGAACTCCTGGCCTCAAGCGATCCTCCCACCTCGGCTTCCCAAAGTGCTGGGATTACAGATCTTAAAGAGCACCTACTGTGTGCCAGCCCCTAAAGAAGCAGCTTCCTTGCAGGATAAAATAAGGAAGGCCCCCTACTTTCTCAGAGCTTCTGTCCTAGTGAGCCAGAGGGACATACACTAAGCACACAAACAGATGAAGCACCAGGGTAATGTCGGTTTGTGACATGCAGGGTGATGTGGTAGCAAGGGACAAGGCATTCCTGAAGACCTTTTTTAGGGAGGAGACATTTGAGAAATGTGTTTTCTTTCTGCTGAATGTTTCTATCCCAGGAATCCATGCCCTGGAGGTTTGTTTAACTATATGCTGAAACAAGCATCTCGATACATATCAGTTTGCTTGTGCAAGAGTCTGAGGTCACTAGCCTACAAGCCCTGTGAGCTGCACACTTGTAACCGGTACACAGTGGACATTCAATAAATGCTAGATGTGTGATTGATCGTGTATTGTCTTGGTTTGGGCTCCTCTGGGCTCAGCCCCCGAGGCGAGGAATTGGATGTAAATAGTTTACCTAGAAAATTATCCCAGGAGGCACCACCTAGGGCAATGAGGAAGTGACACAGGGAGGAGGGAGAAAGAAGCCACTAAGCGCTCATGAGGGTGATCGAGCAGGTTGCCACTGTGGGCAACTAGGGCTCCGTTCTGCTGGAGATCTCAGAGATGGTGTAGGTCACACCCCCAAGTTGTCCCCACCAAGGGGCAAGGGACTTGGAGTATGTATCCGCCAGCTCCTGTGATTGAATGAGGGCTGCTCTGCAGAAGGGGGTGGGTGGAGGGGTGTCAATTCCCTGGAGCTTCTGACTTCCTCATCCACGGGACTGTGTACGCTCAGGAATGCAGAGGGGGCGGAATGGCACCTGCTGCAGGTATAGACACACCTGCTGCAGGTATAGATGCTTGGGTGGAATGGCTAGGTCACAGGCCAAACGTTTGCATTCAACATGCTTTTCAACAGTTCTCCAAAGAGGCTGCCCGCTTCCACTCCCATTGCTAGCGTGTAAACCTTTCCACATGACAGTGTCCAGCTTAAAAAAAAAAAAAAAGTTGTGGTTAAATACAAATCACATAAAATTTACCATCTTAACCATTTTCATTTTATTTTTTATTTTTATTTTTTTGTTGAGACAGGGTCTCACTCTATTGCCCGGGCTAGAGTGCCGTGGTGTCAACCTGGCTCATGGCAACCTCAAACTCCTGGGCTCAAGCGATCCTCCTGCCTCAGCCTCCCGAGTAGCTGGGACTGCAGGCATGCGCCACCATGCCCGGCTGATTTTTGTTTGTTTGTTTGTTTTTAGCTGCCGGGCTAATTTCTTTCTATTTTTTGGTAGAGATGAGGTCTCACTCTTGCTCAGGCTGGTCTCAAACTCCTGAGCTCAAGCGATCCTCCTGCCTCGGCCTCCCAGAGTGCAGGTAGGTTGTGAGGATGTCACTTGGGAGGAGGGTTCTGTTGGTTGGTGGGTGGGTAGGGCACCCAGGCTGCTGTCATGCCACAAGGGGTTCACCAGGTGACGACTGGTAAACCTGGGGAGATGAAACCTAGAATGAATGATCCAATCCAGAGGTAAAAGTAGGGCATTCAGTTTGGAGTCTGCCATCTTTCTGTTCTCCATTTCCAAAACCTCAAATGGGCACAATGTCCCCCCTCCCCACCCCAGATGCCAAGTCCCCCTTTCTGTCTCCTGTGCATGGAGGCCCCCTGAGTTCTAGGAGGGGATGAGCTCCGTGCATGTGTGCACCCTGGGGCAGCCGTGAGGCAGAGGGAGCTGGTTCTTTGGGATGGGGTGGCACATTGAGGTAGCAGGAGGTGGGGACTTGGCCAACAGAGGTGACAAGGCCAAATCCTCAGGTATAAGGGGAAGTGCGGGAGGGCTCATCAGGTGGCCAGCACAGGGCAGTGAGGATGGCCAACCCCTTCGAGGATCTTCTCTGCTCCTTTGTGACCCCTCCCAGCTTGACATAACCTCGTACCTGGAAGCCGGGCTCTGCCAGGACGTCCTGAGAGCTAGGAGGCTGTGGGGGGTGGGGTGCTCTGCCCTGCAGAAGGATGGGTCACTTCCCACTATTCTCTGTGTCTCCTGTCGCCCTCCCTCTCTCTCCTTCCTTTCTTCCTCTCTTCCCAAAAATCTGGGGTCCTGGCATCCCCCAAATTCCCAGGGCTGCATTCCCACGGCAGCCCCCTTCTCAACTACCCTCGCCCGGTTAGGGGGTTTCCTGAGGTATGGGGAAAACCTTCAGGTATGAGGGAGGCAGATGGCCCCAGGGCGGCTGGGGCTCCACAGACGCGAAGGCCGGGACAGGGACCAAGGACACCGAGCGGCCGGATTGGTCGGTGGGCTGGAGGCGCGGTGGTCCCGCCTCCTGGTCGCCAGGGCTCAGCCTATCCGAGTCCAGGCGCTGTTTGCTCGCCCAGCATTTGGGGTGGGGGTCGGGGCAGGTGTATGCGTTGGGGGCACAGGTGGGGGGCCCCAAAGATTTGCCCTCATTCCCCGTTGTTTGTGTCTCTGGGGTCCTCAGGCGCAGTCAGGCAAACAGGCCCCTTGCGGACCGCGGAGAAGCCGCCCCTCTCTCCAACGTGCGTCTCCCCCCCACCGCTCGGCGCGCTCCCGCCGCCCGCGCTCCCGGGTTTGGCTCGGGAGCGCGCCCCGGCTCCCCCGCCCGCGGCCGAGGGGCGGGGCCGCCCTGCTCCCCCAGAGCCGCCGCCCGCAGCCCCCTCCCCTAGCCTGCTCGCCGCCCGCGACCGCCGCGGCGCTGCGCCGGGCCCCACCCCAGGCGACCCTGCGTGGAGCGGCGGGAGGCCGGAGCCGAGGTGAGCGCGCCGCGAGCAGGTGGAGCGGCCGCGAGCGGGCCAGGGCCCGGCTGGGGGAGGGGTCGGGCCTGGGACGCGGCGGCTCTTTGTCTCCCGGAGCAGGATCGCTGGCTGCGGGGCGGCTCTTCCTCCCGGCAGGTGCCGGCATCCCTCGGGGAGGCCCGGGGAGGGCCCTGGGGACCCGCGGGGAGCCCGGGGCTTGCGCTCGGGTCCCCGCATCTGGAGCCCGCGGCCGCCCGCTGTTCCTAAGGCTGGTCGCCTGGAGCCCGAGGGGGCGAGGGGTAGGGGCGTGGATGTTGTCTTGAAAGGGAACCGAGGCAGGGGAGGGGGTGAGCGGGGGCGGGCAAGGCCTCTCAGCTTTGGGGGAAAGCGGTGGTGGTGGGACTGGGGGACAACGGGGAGCCGCCGGGCTGGGAAGTGGGCGTGGGTGGGTGGGACGGGAGCGGATTGAAGCGGAGGCTGAGGTTTGGGCGCCCGTGGGCGGCGATGCTGGGACGCAGGTCCCCACCCGCTGCGCAGCTGTCCAGGACCTGCGATGCCCACCTGTCCGTCTCATCAGGTGCAGGATGGACAAGAAGGCCAAGGCCAAGGCAGGGGCCGTCGCGCAGACGCCCGCGTCTCGCCCTCCTGGCCTTCCGACCCCCAGGCCCCCAGGGGCTCCACGACCCCTTCCCCCAGTAACCCCTGCAGCGCTCCGAGTTCTGGGAGCAGCGGGGCGAAGGCCTCAGGGGGGCACCGCGGGAGCCACTGTTTCGGAGGCTGCATCCCGAGGAGGACCACCGCGGAGTGCTGGGACAGGTCCCCGGAACCCAGGTACCCCAACCTCATTCCTCAGTTCCAACCCCATCTTTCCGCCCCCCTTCTTCTGAAACATCCCCTACCCCTTTCCGGGTCAGAGTTGACTCAGTCTTCTCCCCACAGCCACCAGGCCTCCGGCAGCTGGGAGAGGGGAGCGGGCCCCAGCCAAGACTCCCAGCCTGGCCTCTCTCTCTAGCCCGGGGCGTGCCAGCGGGACCACCAGGTAACAAGCTTCCTCTCCTGTAGTCTCCTGAGCAAGGGTTAGTGTCACAATCTTTAAATTGACACGAGTTGGGGCGTGGGAGATCACTTTCAGATCACTGGGTGCAAATCTGGGGAAAGCTGTTAATGGTCCTCAGAGAGGGTACATGGCCCATTTGACAGGTGGAAAAATAGAGACTTTGAAAACCAAACACGGACCTCAGGCTCTGCCCTGAGTGCGGCCCCTTCTGTCTCCAGGCCAGGCCCTCTTGGCCAGAAGGGACCCCGGCCCCCAGCGGAGGAACCTGTGGCCAAAGGAAAAGCCCCGGAAGCTCCCAGAAAGAGCACCCTGAGCACTGGGGCACGGAGAGGTACGTGACCTGGAGAGGAGTGGGTTGCTGGGCAGCGAGGGGGACTGGCTCAGACGTATTGGTGATGCTCTGGCCTTCTTCTGTGTCTCAGACTCTTCCGGGCCTGCCCCAGGCACTTCCTCCCCAGCCACGGCCCGTAGGTCCCGGGCTGGGGGCGCCGAGGTGGGACTTCCCAGGCCAGCGCCAAGTGCCCGGCCGCGGCCCCCGTCCGAGGCCTCCAGGAAATCAGCGAGCAGCGCCTCGGAGCACAGCACCGCGGAGCAGAGCCCAGCTGCCAGGAGGCGGCCCAGCGCGGGCGGGGGCCTCCAGAAGCCGGCCTCGCGCCCCTTGGGCTCCAGCGCCACCCCTCAGTCCTCCCCAGCCCGCTCTGGGGCCTCAGCCCGTGGAACACCCCGGGCTCCTACGCAGCCCTTGCAGCCCAAGTCGAAAGGCCTGCAGGCTCTGCGACCCCCGCAGGCCGAAGCCGCAAAGAAGGACGCGGCCCCTACGCGGGGCCTGCTTTCTTCTTCTCCTCGGGCCACACCCTCTCCACCGGGTCCGGCGGCACGACTGGCACCTTCTCCCCACATCCCAGCCGCTCCCCTGCCGGCTGTGCTCCCGCCCTCCCCACCGACCACGCCCCCTCCGCCAGCTTCGCTCCGTCTTCGGGCCCCGCCCTCCCCGCCGGCCACGCCCCACTCGCAGGATCTCCCGGGTCCTTTGGCCACGCCCCTCCCTCTAGCCCCGCCTTCTCCCTCTGCTTCACTCTCTCTGCAGACCCTCCCCTCTCCGCCTGCCACGCCCCCTTTGCAAGCTCCACCCACACACCTGGGAACAGCCTTTCCAGAGGCATCCGTCTGTCCCCTGGCCACAGCCGCTTCTCTGGCGCCATCCTCTCCATCAGTTTCACCCCCTTTGCAGAGCACGCCCCCTACCCAGGCTTCTCCTCCTGTGCCCTCTCTTCCGACTCTCCCCTCTCCCGTGGCCACGCCTCCTCTGTCGGCTTCCCTGCCACCTGTCACGCCTCCTCGACTAGCGCCTCTTTCTCCGGCAACGTTGCTGCTGAACCCGCCCTCTCCTCCAGCCTCGCCCCCTCTGCCAACCCTTCCTGCTCTGGCCACGCCCCCTCCACGGGCCGGTCCTTCCCTGTCCCCGCCCCTCCCCCAGGCCACGGCCCCCTCGCTGGCCGTGCCTCCCTCACGGGACCTTCCTCTTGTGGCCACACCCCCTCCGCAGGCCTGTCCCTCTCCTCTGACCACACTCTCTCCGCAGGGACCTCCAGTTTCTCCCGCTCTCTCGGCCTCACTGCAGGCCCCTCCTTCTCCACTAGGCACGCCCCCTACCCGGGCCACGCCCCCTCTGACCACGTCCCCTGTGCAGGCCCCTCCCTCTCCTGCGGCCTTGTCCTCTCCGCAGGCCTCGCTTTCTTTGGGGTCACCCGCTCGGCAGGCCACACCTCCTTTCCTGCCAACGCCCCCTATGCAAATCCAACCTTCCCTGACCTCGCTCCCTCTGCAGGCCCTTCCTCCCTCAGCCTCAACCTCTCCGCCGGCCCGTCTCTCTCCCCCTGCCTCACCCCCAAAATCACCCTTGACCAGATCCCCTCTGCAGGCTCCACCTTCTCTGGCTTTGTCTCCTCTGCAGGCTCCGCCCTCTTTTCCGACCACGCCCCATCTGCAGGCTCCTCCCTCTCCCCCTGCCTCACCCCCTCTGCTGCAGGCCCCTAGGTCTCCTTTGGCCACGCCCCCTCCACAGGCCCCACCTGCCCTGATTTTGCCCTCTCTGCCGGCCTCGCCTTCTCCCCTGACAACGCCCCCTAATCCGGCCCCCCCTGCTCTGACCTTGCCGACTCTGCAGGCCCCTCCCTCTGCCCCTGCCTCACCCGCTCTGTCTCCTTTGGCCACGCCCCCTCCACAGAGCCCACCAGCTCTGGCCTTGCCGCCTCTGCAAGCCCCTTTCTCTCCTGCCTCACCACCTCTGCAGGCCCTTCTGTCTCCCTCTGCTTCACCGCCTCGGTCTCCTTTAGCCACGCCCCCTCCACAGACTCCACCTGCTCTGGCCTTGCCCACTCTGCAGGCCCCGCCCTCTCCCCTGGCCCCGCCCCACCCACAGGCCCCGCCTTCCTTGGTCTTGCCCCCTCTGCAGGCCCCTCCCTCTCCCCCTGCCTCACCACCTCTGCTGGCCCCACGCCGTCCCCCGACCCCGGGTCCGGACGCCTCCATCTCGGGTCCGCGGCTGACCCTGGCGCTGGCCCCGGCGCCGCCGCCGCCGCCGTCGCGCAGCCCGTCCAGTACGCTGAGCGGCCCGGACCTGGCCGGCCACAGCAGCAGTGCCACCAGCACGCCCGAGGAGCTGCGCGGCTACGACAGTGGGCCCGAGGGCGGCGCTGCGGCCTCCCCGCCCGCCGACGCGGAGCTGGCCGCCTGCCACCCGGCCGCCTGGAGCCGAGGCCCCGCTCCGCCGCTGGCCCTCCGCGGCGTCCCAGGTAGGGGGAGCTCCGGACCCGGCAAGGCCGTGGGCGGGGCTTTGCAGCCCGGGGGCGTGGCAGTCGGGTCCGGGGGAGGGGCTGAGGCAAGGGGCGGGGCTTGCCGCGGGGGCGGGGCTCATCTCCCCCGGCCCGCGTCGGAAACCCCGCGTCTTTCCCCGCAGGCGCGCCCCTGCACTGGCCTCCAGCTGCCGGGCCGGGCTCTGCTGACGGCCTCTGCACCATCTACGAGGCCGAAGGGCCCGAGTCGGCGACCCCCGCCCCAGCCGATCTGGACGCGGGGCCGGTGCCCGGCGCGGGCGGTGGGAAGGCGGCGGCCGGGGCGGGGGCGGGCGCCCCCTCCCGGAGCCCGAAGTCGGCGCGCCTGGGCGAGTTGCCGCTGGGGGCGCTGCAGGCGAGCGTCGTGCAGCACCTGCTGAGCCGGACGCTGCTGCTGGCTGCGGCGGAGGGTGCCGCGGGCGGCAGCGGTGGTGGCCCAGGGGGACCGGGGGGTGGTGGCGTCACAGGGGGCGCCCGGACTGCTCTCACCGACGCCGAACTGGGCCGCTGGGCCGAGCTGCTGTCTCCCCTGGACGAGTCCCGTGCCAGCATCACCTCTGTCACCAGCTTCTCCCCGGACGACGTGGCCTCCCCGCAAGGTGACTGGACCGTAGTGGAAGTGGAGACCTTCCACTGAGCCAGCCCCCAGCCCCGCCTACAACACCCTGTCCCTGCCTTAGGATCCGCCCCTCCGGTTAGCCTCTGTCTTAGACGCCCCCACTTCCCTGGAGCCCCGCAGTCGCCGTCAGGGGATTGGCCTCAGCTTCGGAGAGACTGAGTCTTTAGACCTGGGCTCCAACCTTGCGTTTGGCCGAGGAGGCTCGGGACCCACCCACACCTTTGGCCTAGGACCTCCCCTCGGGCCCCGCCCCTTTGCCCTAGGACACGCCCCTGCTCCCCTCCAGTCCGGCCCCACTCCCCGGCTAGGCCCCGCCCCGCGTCCCATGTATTGTCCAACCCGCGCGGCCTGAGTTTGCAATAAAACCGGGACACTGGAGCTTGCGCACCTGAGCGTTGCGGCGGCGCCAGGGGTTGAGGACGGCTGCGCGTGAGCAGGTTGGCGCTCTGGCTGAACTGCGTGGTGCTTCTTCGTGTCCGACTCCTGGGGGAACCTTAGGCGCAGGAGGGACCCAGCCGGGCCGCGCCCCCCAGTGGGCTAGCTGGTGCATGGCCTAGGAGAAGGAGCGACACAGCTCTTCCCGCACTCCGGGCAGAGGAAATGAAGCTCCTGGGGAACAAGCGGGAAGGGCTTGTCCCGCGCCGGGGTGGGGACAAGGACCCCTTCTCGTGGCCTCTCCTCATAGCACGCCCCCTTACCTTGTGCCTCCTGGGGCACTGCTCTGCTGCGGGTAGGGACCCCCTCCAGGGGGCTTGGAGGTGGGAACTCTGTGCGGGCCGAGGCTCACGAAGGGGTCTTTGGCGTTCTCTGTTCCTCCGGCTCCCTCCCAACCCCCGGGCGCACCGCCCTCCGCTCACCAAGGAGGCTGCAGTGCACATGGCAGGCCTGAGACCGGGCGGGAGCTACTCAAGAGGACCCTCGGCGGGTTACGGTCGCGGGCTACTGCCCCCTAGGGGCCTGCAGGAAGAAGTGGCCTCTCCCAGGGCTGGGGGGAGACCCGCTGTCCTAATGCTGCACCGTCCTCTCCAGGGGTCCTCACCGTGTCACTGTGTATTCCACCTCCACGGACATTCTTCCCATGTCCCCTACCCAGGCGTCCTCATTAGGCCCCTATCCCCGCGTCTTCACTCGTCCCCTTCAATCAGAATTCGTCTTTTAATTTTGAGACAGAGTCTAGCTGTGTCCCCCAGTTAGAATGCAGTGGTGTCATCGTAGCTCACTGCAACCTCAAACTCAAGGGACAGAGTCCTCTTGCCTCAGCCTCTGGAGTAGCTGGGACTATGGGCACATACCAACAAGCCTGGCTAATTTTTCTATTTTTGGTAGAGACCTGGTCTTGCTCTTGCTCAGGCTGGCCTCGAACTCCTGAGCTCAAGCAATCCTCCCACCTCGGCCTCCCAGACTGCTAGGACTACAGGTGTGAGCCACCGCGCCCAGCCTAGCCCTCTCCCAGGCCTTTTCTCCCCAAGGTCTCCCGCTTGGCACCAAAAATGACAGAGTGAGACCCAGTGTAGGGTCCTCAGCCCTGTCTCTGCCCCTAGACCTGGTCCCCCTGTTCCACCCTGTGGCCAGGTTCCTGTCAGACACAGGCCATCAAGTCCTGTCTGCCCCCACCCCAGATGTGGCCACCTCCTAGCCTGGGGTCTGAGGAGAAATGGGCTCTGTCCCAGAGGGGCACTGCCATCTCCATCCCCCAGGGGAGGAGGGGAAGGAGGCAGACACACTCCCTCTCTCCAGCTTGGAGTTTCGTGGCAAATCACAGACATGTTCTTCCCACTGGGCCATGGGAAGGGGGACCAGGTGCCCTTTTTTTTTTTTTTGAGACAGAGTCTCTCTTTGTTTCCCAGGTTAGAGTGAGTGCCGTGGCGTCAGCCTAGCTCACAGCAACCTCCAACTCCTGGGCTCAAGCAATCCTCCTGCCTCAGCCTCCCAAGTAGCTGGGACTACAGGCATGCGCCACCATGCCGGCTAAGTTTCTAATATATTACTTGCATTAATTTCTTTCTATTTATAGTAGAGACGGGGTCTCGCTCTTGCTCAGGCTGTGTTTGAACTCCTGACCTCGAGCAATCCCCCGCCTCAGCCTCCCAGAGTGCTAGGATTACAGGCGTGAGCCACCGCACCCGGCTTCAGGTGCCCTTTTTTTCCACTCTGAGAGACAAGCCCAAGGCAGGGGGCTGACTCCTGACATGCCAGGCAGCCAGGACCCCAAGGCCAGCCCCCAGGAAGGATAGCGCAGAACCCCAGAGTATTCCTCTGGGGCACTGCTCTGTCCTGGGGAACCAGCTGGGGTGCAATTACCCTGGGGGAGCAGGAGGCACAGACAGCGACTGTCACTGTCGGGGTCTCAGTGTGAAGTCATGTGATGGGAATGGTGCATGTGGTGGCAGGCGCTGTCGAATGAGATGGGACAATACACGGGACTTGGCTGTCCTGGTTCATACCCAGTGTCATGCCCTGCTGGGAGGTGGCTCCCAGGGTGCTGTGTGTGCCCATACTGGGTGCAGGGGGCAGGCCTGGACCCATCTGCCCAGACTCAATTAAGTTTCTGCCCATAGGAAGCCTTCGTCACGAAGGGTTCTGTCCTCCCCCACCCACCACACCAGTGGGGACTCTGCCTCTGCTCCATGGCGAACCCCACAAAGGACTCTGTCTCTTTCGGTCCTCTTTTCCCACTCACTGTCCCACTGCCTGGCTCAGCTTGGCAGCTTGCTCTCTGCATCAGACTCCTAACACCGTGGTCCACCTGATGGTGCCCTGTCACCTAAGCCCTCCTGGGGCTCTCATAACCCTCAGTTCAAAGCCCAAACCCTCCCTTGAGTGAGAGCCCCTTCCTGGCCTGGCCATGCCCAGCCTCCCCTGTTCCTCCTTTCTGGACATCACATGCCTCTTGCTGGTCCAGCCTTTATGCTTTTGTCCCTGGAAATGGCTCCAGGTAGCCTTCCTGACCTCCCTGCACATCTGTCTATACGTTAGTGACAGGCAGGAGCCCCCATCCCTGTGCTGGTCTCCTCCACTACACTGGGGACGCCTCAGAGCCAGGCACAGGGCAAAGCACCCTGGGAGACCTCCGGAAGTGTGTGCTGAATGAATGAATGAATGCAACCAGATCCTCCTCTTCCTGAAGCCAGCACCCCAGCGTCCCTCCATGTCTCTCAGGGGCCCCAAGCTGAGTCACCCAGGTGGGAAATCATACCCCGCCCAATACTGACTGCCCCTCTCTCCTCTCCAACCCCCCACTCTATCAGACTGTAGCGAGCTCCCGAGGGCAAGGACAGCCCACCCCCTTGGCACTGTTTTGCCAAGGGGCTGGGCACCCCCAGGCCTGCCCCACACAGCGCCCCTTGTCCGAGACTGTGTAAATACACTTTATTTTCCATCTTTCCCGCCTGGGCGACATGTGGAGTGTGAACAGGCAGTGTGCAAAATGGTGGGGGCAGTATGGGAGCCCATGGGAGAGCCCCACGGGTGCCCGCCCTGGCCCCCAGGCTGTGTAACACTGAAGAGTGGGCGACCAGAAAGGGGGACTGAGCAGGAGTCCCCACCCCAGGAAGCGCCAGGGAGATTGCTTGTGACGCTACTTTACTCGAGGCTCCACGAGCACCGAGCACCGAGAGGGCCGGCCTGGGGGTCAGGAGGCCCAGGGTGGGGGGAGAGGAGGGGTCTGGGGGGCGGCGTTGGACTTTGGCACCATTCTGAGCTCTGACTCAGCAGGGACCACGGGGCCACCAGAAGGGGGGGCAGCAGACTCCACTGGGAAGCTCCTGCCCTGGGGTCTGGCCCTGGCCTGAGGTGGGGGGTGGCTGGGGACACACGGAGAGAGGGGAGTGGATGGAGGCCAAGGACCCCCGTGGAGTGGTGCCCTTCCGTCACTGGCCAAGATGGGCGATGCGAGTGTCTCCCGCAGGAGGGTGTGGCGCGCCAGGGTCTCTCCACCTCCTCGCGGCTGCTCTGGCCTCAGAGAAGCAGGAGATCTGCCAGGGCCTGGGCTGCTTCCTGCTGGCCACTCACACCCCAGGTGGCCCTGCACACAGTAGGGGACTTTGGTTTCTGCTGCAGGGGCCACGATGCCTGCCCCAGCGGCCAGACTCCCCTGGAGGCGGCCAGGGGCTGGTCAAGGGTCTCTGTGTCCCAAGGAGCATCGTGGGGTGCTTAATGTCCAGCCCAGAGCTGGCTCTCCATCCTCAGGCCTCCCCTACCTCCTAGGCCCTTCCCAGCTGGGCCACCCTTGTCCCAAAAGGAGCCTGCTGGGAGGGGGAACTTCCTGCTCATTCAGTCCTGGGGCTGCTGCTGAGTCGTCCGTCCCCTGCCCTCTGCCCTCGCTGTTAAGAGGGCAGCCCCTCCAGGAACCCCCAAGGTGGGTCAACACTGCAGGGAGAAGCCCCAGGCCGGGCCCCACCCTCTGCGCTGCCTGGCCCAGCCTCGCCCTAGGGGTGACTGAGCCACACACAGATGGCGCAGCCACGGACTTCTCGGGCGCCCCCCGGCTGCGGCCTTCTGCCTCTGGGCGCGCGGGGCACGGCCTCAGTTGTCCAGGCCCTGGCTGTAAGGCGCGGCTAGCTCGTCGGCGTCGCTGTCTGAGCTACCCTCGCTGTCCTTGGCCGGCCGCTCAAGACGGCGGAAGAAGCGCGCATCCCGCGGGGACAGAGGGTACAGCGCGTCCTGCAGCGCGGCGCCCACGCCTACACCAAGCAGCTCCTCGTCCGACGACGGCAGCGAGTCCTCGTCCAGGTGCCGCGCCAGGCTCAGCCCGTCGAAAGCCAGCGGGTCCTCGAAGGGCGGCGGGCCCTTCAGCAGCCGCACCTGGGGCGGGGACCTGCGCTGGAGGCGTGGCCCGACCTTCCGGCCCCGCGTCCCCAGCGGCAGCCTCCGCCACGACGCCCGGCCGGTCCCCGTATCCCCCGAGGGCTCACCTCGGCCTTCAGCTCCTCGATCTGGTCCTTGAGCTCACGGATGTACTGCGACGAGTCCGAGTGGTTCAGCTGGCCCTGGATGCGGCCCTCCTCCCTCTGCAAGGTGGGCCAGGTCACGCGGGCTCAGAGCAGGGCCTGCACCCGCCCCGCCCGGGACCCCGCCACTCACCTGGATCTCCAGCTCGGCGATGCGCTGCCGCATCTCGGCCACCGCGGCCATGCTGTCCGCCTCCCGCAGGCGCACAGCCATCACCTCCTCCTTGCTCTGCAGGTGCAGGGGGAGAGGGCGGGTTAAGGGGCGGGGCCACGGCGGGCGGGGCGGGGCCACGGCGGGCGGGGCGGGGCCACTGAGGGGCTGCACCTTGCACTCGGCCTCGGCCTGCTTGCGGCGGCTTTCGCTGAGCTGCGTCTGCAGCCCCTTATTCTGCGCCGACAGGTACTGCAGCTTCTCCTGCAGCGTCGCGCGCTCAGCCTCCACTCGGTTCAGCAAGTTGCGGTGGATGTGGTCCTGGACGAGGCATAGCAGACGGCAGAGGTCATGGCCTAGCCCAGGGGCTGGCCACTGACACCAAGCCCCCTCCCCCGACGGGCTGATACTCCAGCCCACCTGCGTCTCGAGTTCCACCACGCGTTGCCGCAGCTCGCGGCCCTCGGCCAGGGCCTGGGCCTCGCGTAGACGTACGCTCATCAGCTCGTCCTGCAGCTCGCCCAGGACCAGCTTCCGTGGGGACTCCTTCCAGCGGCCGCCGCGGGACAGATGGGCCTGGGGGAGAGGCGGAGCGGCCGACGTCAGCCTCTGCAGAAGAGCCCAGAGGGGTGGCCCGAAGAGGTGCCCACTGGCCCTCACCTGCCAGGTGTCCGAGAGCTCCTGCAGCTGCAGCTTCAGCTCTCGCGCCGAGGCCACCGCCTCGCCCTCCCGCAACTTGAGCGCCTTCAGCTCCTCTTGCAGCCGCGCTACATTATTCTCGTCGGGCAGTGAGCTGTTCCTCTGCGGGGAGAGAGGTGGTCAGGCCTGGGGGAGCTCCTTCCTGCAGAACCGACACCCGCCCCCCCCCACTTCTGCGCTCTGCCTTGGACAGCTGAGCTGGAGGAGGTCAGCACCCCAGCCCAGGTCCCCAGGGTGCAGACCCCACCTGTGGAACCCAGCGGAGATCTTCGGCTGTAAAATGGGTGCAATAACAGCACCGACTCTCACAGGCTGTCCTAGGGTAACCCCATAAATCGTGGGTCCTCCATAAGTGTTACTGCTAAGAACGCCAGGCAGGCCTGGGAAGTGAGGGCCAGGGCCCCGCCTCATGACACCGCCTCCCAGACACCCCCAGGGGGTCTGAGATCTACCCCCTTTGGGGCCCATGAGCAGATCTTCCCCAGGCCAGGCCAGACAGCCCTTCTCCTTGGGGACAGGCTGAATGCCAGCCTAGGCCCTGTCCTGGCACCCCAGGGCTCAGTGATGGGGGATTTGTGCTCCAGCCTCTGGGACCAAAATCCAGCTTGCTGGACGAGGTCCCCAGTGACCGTTGTTTGGATCTAGGGGTGGGACAGATCTGGCAGGATGTACTGGAGGCACCTTGCTCTCTGATGTGGAGGGAGGAGGACAGGAAGCCCAGCTCTTGGATGGGGGCAGGCGTCTGAGAGGATGATGGCCTGTCCCTCATTTTGGGGGACTCCCCAAAATAGTGCAGCCTGCAGGGGGACATGGCTCCTGAGTGGTGTGAGTGGATCCCGGGCACTTCCCTTGCTCTGGCAGCTTCGTGGGGGAGTTGAGTTAACGCAGAGTCAGAAAGCAGTTGAGGAGGGACCCAGGAGGCCTGGTACTGTCTCCAGGGCTGCAGGCAGGAGAGGGTGGCCCCTCGTCTGGCCCTGAGTGGTGTCTCCATGGGAGTGTGTTGGTGGTGGCACTGATGGGCCTTGGGCCTTCCTGTCCCCCTCTGCCTCCCTCCTTCCCGGAACTCAGGGCCTGGGGGACACACACAGGTGGTTCAGGGTACCCAGGAAGCTCATGGAAGCCACCACACTGCTGGTGCTTGCCTCATATGTGAGGGGGGTGCTGAGTATGTATGTGGGTGACCAGGCATGAGCATGTCTTCCTGTGCCTGTACATCTGAGTGTGTGTGTGTGTGTGCATGTACCTCCATAGCTTGGGAGAGTCTGGGGGTGAGGGGTCCAACTTCCCATCCCCCTAGACCTGGGTGTGAGACCATGGGGGAGGGGCAGGGACTGACAGGACAGGGGTGGGGGATTCTGACCCAGGGTCACCTCTGAAAGCTTCCGCAGGACCTCCTCCCTTCCCCAGGGCCCCCCAACACCTGGCCTCCTGCCCACCCAGTCGCACCTTCTCCATGTCTAGAACCTTATCCTGCATCTCCCGCAGGGCCCCCAGCGTCTCTGTCTCCCGCAGCCTCGACTGCTCCAGCTCTGTCTCCAGGTGGGCCACGAAGTCCTCAGTGAGACGCGGGTTGTCCTGGGGGAGGCAGAGGCTGCTGGGGAACGTGCAGCCTCCATGCCATGTGGCTGTAGGCCCAGGCCTGACCCCCGGCAGGGCCTGGCAGTGGGGTGTGGGTCCTTGATTTGGAGAAACCACAGGGTGCTCGTCTACTGAGGAGAAGCCCCCAGCCCAGGCCTGGAGACCTTGGCTTTTAGTTGACTCTCTGCTCCTGGGGAGGGGGAAGTGGAGCTGCACTGTTTCTCACTTGCCCCCATGAGCCACATCGGTGTGATGCCAGCGTGGCTGTTAGGGAAACTGAGGCTGTGCTCGTCCCGCTCATGGCACGCCAGTCAGAGAGACGCTACCACTGGCCCTGAGCTCTGGCCTTGGTAGGATGCAGAGACGGCTGAGGCCCAGGGCCAAGTCTTCAGGCCCAAATGGAGGCTGCTGCGGGCAGGAAGAGGTGGCCTGGAGGGGGAGACGAGCCTGGCAGGGACTCTGCATGGGGCCTGAGCCCATCTGGGCCAAGGTAGGGCTGCAGTTGTCCGGGGAAGTGGGCAGGAGGCCCTCGCTGGGGAAGGGGGTGGTGGCGGTGCCGGCAGGGCCTACAGGACGTCTCTCTGCTCCTCCAGGCCATGTATAAGGGCACACTAGGCTTTGGCGCTGCAGCTGCCTGCTGGATACAGCTGTGGTGAAGTCCTAAAAGCCGCCTCCCAGGGAAGGGGACTCTTTGCACCCGGCTCGGACTCATGGGCACACCCAACACTGGATCCAAAGTTCAGGCCCCACCACTCATGCAGGGTGCCTCCTCAACCCCCCTTGTCAGCTGAGAGCCCCCCAAACAGCCCCCAACTGCTCTGCCACTCTCTTCTGAGGACAATGTCCTGGCCACTAGGGAAGGGAGCTCCCTCCCTTCATGGCTGGCACCCAGGGAAGCCCAAGAATCCTTCAGACTTTTGGGAGATACAAGGCCTCCCCAAAGAGTGACAGTCCCATCTGCTTTGGCCCTGCAGGGACAGCTTTGTCCTCAGGGGCCTCTTTGCTGAAGCTGGACACCCCACGGGGTGGCGGGAACTGGGAATCACAGAATGCCCTCTGAGTGTGGGGCCACTCGCTGCTGGGGGAACGTCTGCATTTGTCTCTGGGTCCCCCCACCCTGGAAAGCAACAGGAAGGCCAGGCGCTGAGGCAGGGCCAATCTGAGCCCGGACGGTCATGGGCGTGGCCTAGAGGATGTGGCAACAGGGCGTGACTCCGCCCCCGCCCGGTACCTGCTGCTCCTGCAGCTGCCGGATGGTGCTCTGCGCCTTCTGCAGGTCCTCCGCTGCCGAGCTGCACTGCTGCCGCACCACCGCCAGCTCCCGCTTGATAACGTAGTTCTCCTCCGCCTCCTGCGCCCGTGTCACCTGCCCCTGAGCACAGCAAGGATGGGGGACCATGACCCTCAGCTCCCATCCCAGGCCCTGCCTCCCGCCACAGGGGGAGGCCCAAAGAGGGCGGAGGTGGGGGTGTAGTGAAAGGGAGGAGGCCTCCCGCACTCAGAGCCTGGGATGGGGCGCCCCACTGAGCCTGGGGACTGGGGTAGGGGACAGACAGGAACAGGACACCCAGAGGAACCTGGGAGGAACGGACCCACCGGGCTCTGCCCCAGGAGAGGAGAAACAAGGCCTTCTCCAGGGCCAAGGGCACAGTAGAGGCCTCCTCTGCCCGTTCATGCAGGGCTCTGCTGGTGAGGACGGAGGTCTGGGGACAGCGGAGGTCCCAGTGCTCAGGGAGTGGCTCCCCGGAGCCAGCCGTGGAGTACACCTCCTGCAGGAGCGCCTTCTCCAGTCCTGGCCTCTGGGGCCTCCAACTGCCTGCGGCTAAGACACCCCCTCTCCTCACCTCATCCCCCCAAATGTGGGCCCCCCATTCCAGGCTCGGAGCCACCAGGTGGCAGGTGGAAGCTTCCAGATAAAGCCATTCGAGATGAGGCGGCAGCAGAAAGCAGGTGAGCGAGAGAAGGTGGCAGGCTTTGCAGGTAGGAGCAGAGAGCAGCAGCGTGAGGGACCAGAGGGGCGTGTGTGCGTGTGCACGCGCGTGTGCGTGTGTGTGCTCAGCGCGTGCCCACGCCAGGGTCTGAAGCAGATACACCCTTAGGATCCCCGGCCCTCCTGGGTCCCTGCCCCTGTCCCCTGAGGGAGGAAGCTTTCTGTACATGCGCGTACACATTCACCCCCAGACACACTCACAGACACACCCACACATACACCGCGTTTGTCCCAACGCACATGCCCCCCCAGAAAGCCTGTGTCCCCCAGAAGCGGTCCCCAGCTGTCCCCATGCATGGCGCCAGGCCTGCCCCTAGAATGGCAGGGAAGAGGCGGTTACTGGCTGTCGTGTGCAGGGACCAGGGGAGGGGCCAGGAAGGAACCCGGAGAGGCGACGAAGAGCTACAGTACCTGGATCAACCTATCAGCCAGAGCAGCGCTCTCCTACCAGGCGAAGGGGGTTCCCAGCGACAGGGGGAGGAGGCAGAGCGGAAGTTGCGGGGACAGGAGAGGGGGAGAGACAGACAAGAACCACTTGTCACTAACGCAGTGGACTATCTCTAGAAGCGGGGGAGAGAGGAGTGAAGACCAGAGAAAACCAGCAGGAGAGGACCCGGAGGAAGACCAAAGCCAGAGCCAGCTCCGTCCTGGAGAGGGGTTCGCGTGTGAGAGGGAGGGTCGGGTCTCTCCCGTGAGGGAGGGACCTCCGTCACCCACGGCTGCGGGTGACGCGGCAGGGCTGGGAAACCCACTGTCCCACCCCATTTTAATTTCAATTTTATGGCAGAACAAAGCTTTGGGGTAAAGCGAAAAAAATCCTGTTGATGACGAACACCCTGTGGTCAATTCAAGGTCAATGAGCATAAAAGAGGAGCTGGAAATGGGGGCGCCCGGACCTGGGCTCAGTAAGCCCCCAGTTCCACCCCCATCTTCAACATATTGGGGTTCAGGGTCAAGGCTGTGGCTCCCTAGTATGGCGCACGCTGCTCCCCCACCCGTCCTCCTTTCCTTCCTTTTGAGGGTGAGACTTCCAAATTACAGGGTGGGGTGCTTTGTGGCCCAATTACAGGGCGCCTCCATCGAAGCAGCCGTTCTGCCTTGCTGCCACCCACGGCCCCACCTAAGCTGCCCTAGAGGGCACGGAGCAACAATGGACAGCCGAGGTCGCAGTTCACCGGGTTATAACTCAGCCCTAACCCCAGAGTTTATCACAATGAGAGTCAGGGCCCCTTTTCCCACCCATTATAGGGCAGCCAAATCGGGTTCAGGGTGGGGCTGGGCCTGGGACAGGGGACACGGGCTGCTTGGTCCTCAGGAGAGGGAGATGCCAGGAGGAGTCAGGGCTCCAGGTCGGTGGCCACGCCCTTGCGCCGGACACGCCCCCTATTTGACCACGCCCCGCGCTGACCACGCCCCTCACCTTCTCCAGCGTCTCAATCCGCTGTTTCAGGAGCCGGTTCTCCGTCCGAAGCCTCTATTGGGGGGGAGGGGGAGGAAAAAGAGCATGTCAGAGCCTGCCCCCAACTCTTGTGCACACGTACCCCCCTTCACCTTAGGGGCCAGGCCACCTCCAGGCAGGGCAGGACGGAGCCAGCGTCTTGCGTTCTGGATCAGCGATTTCAGAAAACAGGGCCAATTCCTGTTCAGAATGGCTCATTAAAAAAAAAAAAAAAGATTAAACTAAACTTGGTTCAGTAAAAACAATGCTCTGGTGGCTCTGTGTGTGTGTGGGGGGGCACCCACTCCCTCCTTGGAAGACTGTCTCCATCCTGTGCTGGGCTCAAAGGCCTGTGCGTGTTGGGGAAGGGGCCATCAGACCGCCTCACCCCGGTGCCAGAGCTCCAAGCCCCCGGGCTCAGTCCTGGAGGACGCTCCTCTCAGAGTCTGGGTCCAGCGTGTGACAAACACGCTTCCTTTGCGTCGACAGTTACAGTTCCGTGACCACCGAGAGCAAGCTGTCTCCTACGGTTGTCACTTCCCCTGGCTGGTGCTATGCTGGTGGCTTGTGGTTAGATATCTGAGGTTTTAGGTTCCCCCATGAACCTCTAGGAAGCAGGTGAGGTTTACACAGGGGTCGTACCTAGTCTCTACCTGCCTTTGCCTTATGAAGGAGGTACAGAAATAGCTTGGATCTGCAGGTGCGTGAGGGTCCTGCCTCGCTGTGGGTCACACAGAACGTTTCCTGGGTTTCCAGGATGGAAACACCCAGAACATTCCCAGGAAGCAACTTCGGTCAAAAGAATCAGACTTGATTGTCATTGACTCATGTCATGGGTGGAGAAACTGAGTCAGAAAGGGGCAAGGGACTTGCTTGAGCATCTCAGCTTAGCTGTGTCAGAGCTGTTTCAGGTACAGGTCTCTGTCCCCTACGGTGATCTAGACTCCTGACCCCTGAATTACCCTGCCATCTCTCTGGTGTCAACATGTCACTGTCCCAAGTGGAGCCATCCTTGCAGGAGTTGGACATGCCTGACCAACAACTGCCCGTTTTGTCTGTATTTTATGATGCTGTGACATCCTGGGGTGTCAGTGCTAGCTATTTCCAGAGATAGTAAACAACCTGCCTGCGAGTGTGCCTTTCAGATACAAACCTACCGACCCAGAGCCCAAAGCCCCAACCACCCGTTTTATCTAACTCTCACACCCCACGACATCTCCCTCGCCCGAGACCATACCAGGGCCAGGTATGGGAACACCGCTGGGCACCCCTACAGCCTAGAGGCGGCTGAACGTATCAAAGCAGGCGGTCCTAAGTCGGCTCAAACTTGCCTACCCTGCCTCCCTCGTTCCTTCCTGCGGAAACCACGTGTCGCCCTCACTCCTGCCTCCCAGCCGCCCCTGGTGTCCCACGTGCACCCTGCCTGGCATGGCCTACTCCTACTGCTGTTAAGTAATGAACGCTTCTTTCAAAGGCAGTGGTACCCACGTCTGTCACCTTGCCTTGCCTGATTAAAACAAATCCCCGGTACACTCTAAAACAGGCTAAAGATGAAAGAGCAAAGAGAAGGGTGCGTTGGGAAGGCATCTGCTTGGCTCCTTTAAGGTCTCTGTGGCTCCCCAGTTCCTCTCAGGGGGCATCTCCAGGCTGGGCTTATGGCCTGAGGGTGGGTGGTGTCCTTGCTTACTGCCGGGCCTTCAAGGTCACCAGGTGGGAACAGGCCCTTGTCTGTATGTGACAGAGACAGACACGTTTGGACTGGTACATCCATCCTGCTGCCATTCCTGAGAAAGGGGGATGCCCAAAAACTCAGGCCACAAAACTACAAAGAGTGATGCCTACTTTTCCCCTTAGTATGGGTGGCAGGTGACCTGGATTCTAATCTAGGCTCTCTCCCTGCCTTTCTAGACAAGGTGGGCTTGATGACAGTGATGATGATGATGATAGTAATACCAATAATTGGAACAGCAGAGCCAATGTCACCCCCATTTTGCAAAAGGGGACACTGAGGCTTAGAGAGGTGAGTTCACCTGCCGGGGCCACACAGCTGGTCCGGGGTGGAGCCGGGATTTGAGTCCCAGTCTGTCGGACTCCAGTCTCAGCCACTGTGTGGCTCTGCTCCTGAAGAGGACAGAGCCAGGCTGTGTCTGTCCCCCTCACTGGCCTGGGGGGCCCTCCGTCTTGGCTGTCACGCTGGCACACAACAGGTGTTCAATACATGCTTGTTGAGTGAATAACTAAAATCACATGTGCAGGGATGAAAGCACTAGGAAGCGGAGAGAGACTTTGCATATTTGGGGAACCCTGAGCAGGGTTGGCCTAGCAGGGCCGGCAGGCCAGGCACCTGGGGAACCGGGGGCTCCCCACCCATGGCCTTGTTGAAATTCCTCCAGCGCCCAGGCGCGCTGCTCCCCCAGCTCTTTGCCCTCCCCTGATTCCAGGGCCTGGGAATGCCAGGGAGGGTCACCTCCCCAGGGCAGCCAGTCCAGAGCACTTTATCGAGTCCACACTCTACTTTAGCGGTTTATTGAGTGGTTCCCTGAAATGCCGGGGGCCCCAGGAGGGCCGCGACCTTGACTGTGTTGTCTGCCGCTGTGTTGCCAGTGGCGGATCAGGCCCTCGGGGGCAGGTGCTCACACGCTGGTCTGGCAGGGGAAGGAAGGGCCAGCCAGGTGAACAGAGGGACGGCCCCTCAGAGCCTGGGGTCATCCGCCTGGGTGCCAGGCAGGGCTGCCCAATAGCGGCTGACCCCCAGAGTTGGGAGGGCAGCCCCCAAGGACAGCACATCCCTGTCCTCGCCCCCCCAGGCCCCTGGGCTCACTTTGATCTCGATCTGCTCCTCCATTTCCTTGCTCTTCATGGCTGCGTACTCCTTCTCCAGCCTGCAGAGGGGCAGGGTCACTGTCGTGCCCTTGGGGACTCCCCACTTCCTGCCATACCCCAGCCGCCCAGCACTGACCTCTTCATCTTCTTGGGGTTGTACTTGACCTGGTAGGCCTTGAGGACCAGCTTGTCTGGGCAGCTGTCAAACTGGTGGGGGATGACCCTCTGGAAGTACTGTGGGGACATAGCCGGTCACCGACACGCAAGCCCTGGCCACGGGGGACCACCCGAGCCCCTGCTGCGTGCTCCTGTCCTCAAGGAGGGCAGGAACTGGTCTGCCTGGGCGTCACTATGTCCCCAGCACAGGACCGGCCTGTTGTGGAGCAAGGGAAAGCCTGAGTGTGTGGAGTCGGAATGTGGAGCTGCCTCAGTTTCCAGGATAGAAGCAGGCAGGGGGGGCGCCTCCTGGGGGTGAAGGCCAGGAGTGGGGGTCTCCCGAGCCTCTGCAAAGGGTTAAGGTAAGCTGAGGGTGGTCACGGCTCCTGCTCCCCAGCCCAGCTGGCCCCCTCTGGCAGCTGCGGACAATGGCCATCCGTGTTTGCAGACACAACCGTGGCCTTTGTGCATTCTTCCCCGCAGCACCAGCTGGAGGATGCTGGGAGGGGGCTGGGGCTGGCCCGGTGGGGACACGGCGGTGAGAAACAGGCTGGCCTCCGCTCCAGCAGGCAGGGCCGCCGGGGCAGGCCGGGGCGGGCAGGGCGTGAGGCTGCCCCAGATCCCTCGTTCCTCGAGGTGTCCTTGCCAGGCCAGGGGCTGGGTCCAAAACCACATCCGAAGCCTTGTGGTTTGGCCAGTGTTACAATGGTTAGGATTTGCCATCAGGCTTTGGGGGACCCAGAGTGGGGGTAGGAGGGAGGGGGTAGGACCTCCCTGGGTTGGGGCCCAGCCTGGGCTTCCTCTTGCCCTGCCCCCACCTGTGTCTGGCAGAGCCTGGGGGCAACTCCGAGTCCACCCAGGGGCTCCAGGGAGAGGATCTGGGATGCTCAGGAGTGCCACCTTCCTCCCTGGAAGCCAGACTCTCCCTGTCACTTGGGAGGGTGTCCCATGCCATGCCTGGGTGCCCGAATAGGGGGGCAGGCCCACCCCACCCTGGCCCTCCCCCGGCCCACCTGGGACATGCCCTCCATGTCCAGCTGCATCAGCTCCGTCTGGTTCACCTGCAGCAGGGCGAGGCCCACCCGGAACACAATCTCCAGGCCCTGCAAAGGTGGCGGCAGCCACGGGCAGTGAGTCTCCGCGCCAGGGGGCTCTCTGATTCCTCCCCAGGTCCCAGCCCTTCTTCCGCCTGGTTGGGATTTATTTCCGGGGTGGGGTGCGTGACTCGCTCCCTCCACAGTGGACCGGGTTGCAGTGGGGTGTCGAGGTGGGGGCCCCGCCGTGTCCTCACCTCGTACATGAAGATGTCGAAGACCCGGGTGGCGACGGGCAGGGGAAAGGTGGTCAGGAAGAGCGTGAGGAACCAGGACGAGGCGTACATGGATGTGTGGAAGCTTTGGGAGCGGAAGTGGGTGTTGAGGTCCGGGAGCTGCTCCTGCAGGGGGCAGGAGGCCGGGCGGGCACGGTGAGGGGGGCACCCTCCCACCCGGGGTGCTGGGCCTCGGTGCGCCTGCCTCCAGGGAGCCTTCCCCGACCTGCCCCAGCCAGCCCGAGGCTCCCTTCCTTGGTGCTCCCTGAGCACCGTGTCTGGGGGAGGCCGAAGCACCCCAGAGATTCAAGTAGCCCCGGGTGGGGACCCAGGCAGGGGTGGCAGCTCATGGGGTCCCCCTGTGAGGGAGCTCCTGAGGCTCAGGAGGGTTGCGTCACTCCTCACGGCTGCCCAGAGAAGCAGAGGTGGAGCACGGGCGATTGGGGACCCGGCGTCTGGTGACAGCCCACGACTGCTCACCCTGTGTTACGGGACGTGCCGGCCGCTTGCCCACCTACGGCCCCAGCACGAAGCTTTGGCCACAGCAGGGTTTGATTGGCCTGAACTCCAGACAGCTGCAAAGTGGCAGGTGGCTGGGGAAACTGAGGCTGCAGAAGGCATTAGGACCCCGGGCTTTCTCTGGGTGCCAAGAACTCTCTGTGCCCTGGATTTACACAGCGTCATTCATTTGTTCGTCTGCTTGGCTACAGGAGGTCCCGGCTACCCAGCTTCAGATGGGATGGAGACTTCCCTGCCACCGGCCTCCCTGTTTGTGGCACTGGCAGGCCCTTTGAGCTATAAAAACGCCACCCACACCTCAGGCCTGGGGAGGGGAAATCTCCCATCCAGACGCATCCAGATCACATAGCCAGCCCTACCTGCTACCGGCTCCGGAGCAGGCTGGCATCCGTGTGTGTGTGTGTGTGTGTGTGTGTGTGTGTGTCTCCTAGCCAGGAGCAGGCCCTGGGGGGCTGCTATTTATAAACAGACGGCTGCGGCTCTCTGGTAATCAGCAGCTACAGGCAGACACCACTTTTCCTCTTTCCGCCACAGCTGGGAGCAGACAGCGAGGGGGCTGTGGGTGTGTCAGACTAGGGCCAGCCCTACCTCTCTGCCTCAGTGGCCCGGGGAGCCCCTGCTGTACGCAGGTGGCCCTGTCCAGCTCCTCCAAGCATCCTTCAGGGCAGTGCCGGGCAGCTCCATGGGGACAGGGACTCCTTTTGGAGCTGGAACCTCCAGGCATGATTTCTCAGGCCTGGAATTTTCAGTCCAAGAGACTCCCGGGGACAGCCTGGGGTGTCAGCCCTGGGCGGGCCGCCTGGCCCCGCTCACCTGCAGCATGTACTCGAACTGGTAGATGCACAGCCCCAGCTCGGCCATGCTGGGCTTGAAGAGCTCCCGAAGGCGGTACTCCTGCATCAGCCGCACGAACACGCAGAAGGCCTCCTCCTCGGGCATCTGGGGGCACAGGCAGGTGGCGGGGACTCAGGGTGGGGTGGGGGTTGTACTCGCTGCTCTTGTCAGGGTCCTGGTGTTGCACGGGGGCCCGTTTCTATACCCAGCTCCTTGGACCCTTGCAACAAACCCCTGGGCCAGTGCTGGAAAACTTGAGGCTGAAGTTGTCTGCAGAGGGACACCCGGCAGAAAACAGTGGAGCTGGACTTGAACCTAGGGCTGGCCGCCTCCAGCACCTGCTGTCTTCTCCACCTGGTTAGGATGGCCTCATGTCCCCTCCCAGCTCTGTCCTTCTCCCTGTCCTAAGCCCTCTGGTTTCTCTGGAGGAAACTCCCAAGCCCTATAAACACCACACTGGTTGACTGAGTCCCCAGCCTGAGTCCCCAACTCTTGGAAGTGGCAGAGAAGGATGGCCTGCCTCTCCAGCCCGTCTCTATCCTGAACGGTATAGTGGATAGGACACAGCCAACCCACCTGTCAGGGCTTGGCCTGGGGATTGTCGGAGGTCACAATGGATGGAGAGGGAAGCTCTAGGACAGGGGTCCTCAAACTTTTTAAACAGGGGGCCAGTTTGCTGTCCCTCAGACCATTGGAGAGTGCGCTCTGTGGGCCCAAAATGAGTCGGCTGCTAAACAGGACAGGCAGCAGTGGCAAAAACACCCGGAGGGCCGGATAAATGTGCTAGGCGGCCCTCATGTGGCCCACAAGCCATAGTTTGAGGATGCCTGCTCTAGGAGGACAATGGATAGGGGACCTCTGGTGTGAGCCTGGCCCCAGGCCACCCACCTGCATGAGGAGAAGGCCCACGATGAAGGCGCTGCCTTGGCAGTAGCCCACCTCCCGGTCCACCAGCGAGTACGCCTGGAAGGGAATGACGGGGCGTGAGGGCAGGGTCCCAGTGCCTAGCACGGCAGGCTGATGGGGTACCTGCTCCTCCTTGTGGGGCTCCTGGGCCGTACCTTCATGACGTTGAAGAGGACCTCCTGGCCCAGGCTGTCCTGGCCCTTGAAGAACTCGTGCTCAGGGTAGGTGCGGGCGATGTCCCTGCGGATCAGCTTCTCGCACGGCGAGGACATCTTGAGCAGCTCTGAATACTGGTTCTTGACAGGCATGTCGGTGGCACTGCACAGGAGCTGCCACACGATGGCCCGGAAGTGGTGCGGGATGCCCTTGCGGATCAGCTCCTGGCCAGGGGGAGGGGCAGGGAGTGGGCGGCTGGGGCTGGACTCCATCCCAGGCCAGCCCCCCAGGTGTGGCTGGCACGCACCTGGCTGGCAGCACAGAGCTCATTGGAGCCACTGCTCTGCAGACAGAGGTTCCACCGCCCCCGATTCCCCATGGATACCACAGGGGAGAGAGCAAATGGGCACCTGAGGCTCCGGGGGCCTACCCAGCCCCACCCCTCACTCCCTCCTGTCCCCATTGCTCAGGCTGGGCTGCCCACTGGCCAAGTGACCACACTGTGCCGGTGCTGTCTGCCCTGCCCCATGAGCCCAGCCGCCCCCGCCACCTTGAGCAGCTTTTCCTTCCTGCGCCGCCACTCCTCCCACTCGTTGGCGATCCGGCCCCACAGGATCCACGTGTCCTCCTCCAGGTGGCTCAGGTTGGAGGAGGCTGAGGAGCTGGACACCAGCGAGGAGCCGCTGTTCCGCCGTGAGCCATTCATGGAGCGCATGGACTTGGAGTCGGCCTCCAGGAGCCTGGGCAGAGGAGGGGCCGACCAAGGGGTGCCAATGACTCCCTGGGGACAGGGGCCCTCCAGGGAGCCCAGCCCTTCCTCCCAGGGAGGTGTCTCAGAGGACACCAGGGATTGGGTCCCTCTCATTCTTGCTGAGTGACCTTGGCCAGCGACCTAAGCTCCCTGGGCCACGCTCTCACCCATGGCTCCTGGGAGCCTCCAATCTTGTGTCGGATCCCGCACCCTGCACCAGCCCCAGCACCCCGCGCATTCGCTTCATTGCATTCTTGGACCAACCCTGCAGGCCAGGTTTCGTGACACCTATGCTTTCAAGGTGAGGTGTGAGTCCCGGCCGGGGGCACCCAGCTAGCCGGGGGCAGTGTTAGCTGTGTGTTTCTGACACTTTGACATCCGGGGCCTTAGCTGGCCCTGGAGAACGGCCCCTCCCAGGGCTGGCCAGTTCCTAGAGAGGGTCAGGGACCGCCCGGGCGCCTTTCCCATGCAAACCAACCAATCCCTAGCCCGCAGCTCAGCCACCTCCCTTCTTGGGCTTTCACACATGGTGCACCCTCTCCTCTTGAGAACTGGGAGTAACAAACTGTCTTTGCAATGGCAGATGCCTCCTGATCTCTAGGCCTCGCTATCCCATAATGATACTAAAAGCTACATTGTAAAAAGGGGCAGGGCTTTAGCCTCTCCCTCCAACCCTGGCCCCGTAAATGATGGCCAGACTCAAAGATTCACTTGGCCTCCCCAATCCTCGGTGTCGTCCTCTGAACGAGGTGAGGACCAAGCTGCTCAGCTAAGGCTGGGAGAATGAAAGGAGGTGTCCTTCGTCCAGCACCTGGTGGTGGCTGTCACCTTGTGTGGGGCTGGGCTGCACCCCTGGAAGCCCCACCGTGGCCCCCCTGACCCTGGGCCTAAACTCACCGGTTCTGCTCTTCGAGCTTGGCCAGCAGCTCTAGCTCATCGGGGCTGAGGTTCTCGGAGTCGGAGGTGGGGGAGCAGGTGGGGGCCGACAGGGCCTCCTGGGATGAGGAGTCAGGGCTCAGAGTGGGGCTTGCCATGGTGGGCAGGCTCATCAGCCGCGCCTGGGGCCTGTTCACAGCTCTGTCTGGGGACCGGAGAGGCACGTGGTCGGCGTTGGGTAGGTGCCCACTCGGTCCTGCCTGCCCACCCTTGGGCCATTTCCTCACCCTGAGCTTCCCGCCCCGGCTCTGCACCCTCCATGTGCCCCTTTGTCCCCAGGTTCCACAGCCAAGTTGACAGCCATGCCACTCTTCTCTTCTAGACCCTGATGACCAGGCTCCTTGCCTGTGCAGTCAGGCCAGACATCTGCATGGAGACAGAGTGACATGGCCAGGACCTCAGCCATCCTGCTGTCCCTGGGCATGAAGGCCAAGGCTCAACTTGACCCCCCTGAGTCTGCAGCAGGGCCTGGAGCAGAGGTCCCCATCACTCGAGGACTCAAGGACCCTGCTGGGACCTCAGGGTGCAGAAGCCCCTGTTTCGGTGGCCCCTCCAGACAGCTGGGTCCCCGTGCCTGCTGCGGCCTGCCCGGGAGCCCCACATCAGCATCTGACCTTCCCATCTCATCAACGAGAGTGGGCTGCTGGCACAGCCAGAAGCAATTATTCTCAACTGTTAATTGTCTGGCGCTGCCAGTGGCCGGAAGAGTGACTCCCCTTAGCTGGGAAACCAGGGACGCATCAAAGTGCTGGGAATCTATGCCCTGGCGGACGCAGAGCCAGAGCTGTGGGCTCTGATTTGTACCCTGGTCTCAGCCTGCCATGTGCTAGGGGAATGCCGGGCACATCTCTGCTATCCTTTTGGGGCACGGTTTGGCCTGATCCTTCTGGGGGGCTTCAAGGACACTGGCCTCTTGCCTTCTGCCAGCCTGGTGGGGGGCAGATCAGCACTGTGTGGGAAACAAAGGCCCCAGGCTCAAATGGACCTGTGTCTGCAGCGTGGCTCCCCCTCCACGGGCTGTGTGATCTTGGGCCAGTCACTTGGCATCTCTGAGTCTCCAGAGACTGAGCTCATACAGGGCTAACCTCAGAGGGTGGCTACTGCACATGACGTAGTCAGAGCAGTGTCTGACATTTAGTGATTGCCCCATAAACGTCGGCCATCGCTATCCATCCTGGGGCCGGGGCTCCTGGGTTGTGCCATGGCCTATGTGGGGATGGCTGGAGTGGGTGGCATCACCCTGGTAGGGGGCTCTAGGGGTAGAAACAGCTATGCAGTGGAGGCAGAGTTTGGAGACAATGTTCCTTCATGCTTATTCCTGGTGACCCCAGGGACACGAGGGTCATGGCAGCAGGAAGAAAACCCTCTGCCTGCCTCACTGCTCTGCCTGCCCCGCTCACACCTGCCCCCTCCCCTGTATGCTCTGAGCAGGGGTCCACCTGGTGCTGCTGGACACCACCTGCCTGGCTTGACAGCTCATCCCACAGGTCAGCTGAACATGACCCACGCCGCCCTGCCATGGGGGCGGGGGGTAACCGCCATTCTTTCTTCTCCTCATAGGGGCGCAGAACCCTCCTTTCCCAGGACTCTGTGGCTCCCCAGGGCTACTGGTTCGACCTCTGGCCCTTAAGTGCTTCCCTGGTGTGCTAGGTGCTGAGGGCTCTGGGTTTTGGTGGGTTGGGAACCCCAGTGGGCCAGGGACCTCCTGCCCCAAAGACCAAGCACCGTGCACCACATCAGCAGGAGTTAATCATTCCAGAGAGAGGAGCTGGGGGCCACACTGGGGCTCCTGCCGAGTCAAAGTCTGCAGCCAGCAGGGCAGAGACCTGGGCTGTGGACAAGAAGTGCTGATGGAAGGATCTCTCCAGGCAGGGGGGCAGGGGTTGCTGGAGGTGGCGTCAGAGCTGGGAGAGTGGGCAGAAGGTCTTGGAGGCCAAGACCTGAGCCTCAGGACCACGGCTGGATTCGAGGAGCAGTGAGGGCTCAGAGAAAGACCACACGTAGCCAGGGCAGTGGCCTGGGACCACTCTCTTGCTGAGCCGAGGGACCCGAGCCCCAGAGAATATTGTCCCCACGCTCACTCCCTCAAGGAGCCTGAGAGAATGGCCTCAGCTCTGAGTTTCCTACAAAAAAAGACTCCCCCAAACCCAGGGACCATCCACTAGCAGAGGTCCTCAGCTATTTATCACATGTTAATGTGCATTTCATACAGGAAGTAAAATGTATTAAATACGCGGGGCTGAAATTTGCAGTCCAAGAGGCAGGAACCTTCTGGTCCTACTAGAATATTCTCTTGACTCATCCCCGGGCTCCGTAAACACTGCCCAGCCCTGGAAACCATCGTCCTGGAGCACGCATTTGCACATGTACCCACGCACATGCATGCATTCACACACACTCACCAACGTACGCTGTACTCATTCACACGCCACGCACTCACATACGAACTGTCTCATACACATACACACGCGTACACATACACACCCATGCAATTCACACGCGTACACTCAGAGATACATCTATCTCTACATATTCACACTCACGTGCACACACGAAACAACATGCGCGCTCAGACATACACGTACTCATTCACTCCTGCACTCACACCCATAAAACACACGTGCCCATTCACATTCACACCCGCCCATTCACACTCACACCCGTGTACAGGAGTGTACACGCCCGTAACACTCTCTCACACCCACCCACACTGAGGCGTCCATTCATTCACACCCACTCACCCCCACACACTCATTCCCACACACGCATTTCCTGCACCAACCAGCCTTCGCCCCCGGGAAGCGAGTGGGTTTGGGGGGTGGAGGTTGGCTGCTGTCCTGGGTCCGAGGGTGGCTCTGCTTTCCCCTCCAGAGCACCGCGACTCTCGCTGGCTCAGTCCCTCACTCTGGCACTTACTGAGGGCCATGCCCTGTTCTAGGCAGGGGACGTGGGGCAGAGTGATGCGTATGAAGCCCATCTGCATGCTGCCATGATGGATGGGCATCAGGTTTTGTGTCTGGGGTCCCAGCCTGTCCGTGTCCTCAACTCCAGCTCAGCCATCTGAAGGGGGGGTCCCGGCCCCGTCCCTGCTGGCACAGCTCCCGCCATTCCTCCTTCAGGGGACCCACAGCTTAGGAAGCTAAGCCAGGCCAGAGGGCTGAGAACAGGCTGTGCTGGGGAGCTGTTGGGGGGAGGGGGATAGATGGGGACAGAAAGGAACAGAAAGGTCCAGATGCTGGCTGGCTTTGACCTTTTCAATCTCCCTCTCCAGGGTATTTGGACACCGAGACGTCCCCTCCCACCTGGCTGATGAGCCAGGAGCCCTGGTCCTACCCCACCACTCTGGCCAGGGCTTCCCGGTCTCCATGCTGCCCCTCCCCCTCCACAGGTGCTGCCCTTGGCCTTGGCCCTTCATGCCCATGGAGTTCTCACTCTTAGCGCTTAAAAGACCAAATATATGTCACCAGCTTTCCTTTCTCCCAAGTACTGACTAAGTACCAGGTTGCCAACTGGCCTCTGAACAGTTCCATCAGCCCCCAGCCTGCCCACCCATCCTGTTCCAGGTTCCCCAACCAGGGCAGGAATCGCCTCTGCCCTCCCAGAGTGGAGGGCAAACTCCCCATCGCAGATCACGATAAACGCCTGGAATAAGAGAGACAGAAAACAGGACGGAAAACAGCCAGGCAGTTTCTCGAACACTCAAGCACAGAGTTAGCATGTGACTCCTAGGGTCTGTCTACCAGAGGGAACAGAAAACACCCGTCCACACAGAAACTTGTACGTGAACTTCACAGCAGCATTCATCACGAGAGCCAAAAGGCAGAACCTAGACCCAAGTGTCTATCCACAGATAAATGGATCAACACAACACGGTCCATCCACACGATGGAATACTACTCAGCCAGGAACAGGAACGAGGCTCTGACACAGGCTACAACCTGGCTGCACCTTGAAGACATCATGCTTGGTGAGAGAAGCCAGACACAAGAGGCCACGAGGTGTGTGATGCCGTCCGCACGAAATGTGCAGAACAGGCAAATCCACAGAGACAGGAAGTGGATTCGAGGTCACCTGGTACTGGGGGGAGGGCGCAAGGGGGAGAAACTGCTAAATGGGTACAGGGTTTCTCTTTGGGCGGATGGAAGTGTTCTGAAATTAGATAGCAGTGATGGTTACACAACACTGGGAATGGACTAAACACCACTGAACTGTCCACTTTAAAGCGGGGGACTTTATGCCATGTGAATTAGACCTCAATTAAAAAGAAGAGAAAGGATGGGGTGGGCTGGCAGGGGGCGCAAGCAATGGCGTGATGGGGGATGACTCCAGGAGGGCTGGAGGGTCTGCAGGGGCCAGACTCCTCCCTCAGGGCCTGTGGGCTGAGGCAGGAACGTCACTGGGTTTGCATTTTTAAAATTAATTCATTAATTAAATAATTTTGGGATGGGGTCTCGCTCTGTTGCCCAGGCTGGAGTGCAGTGATATCATCATAACTCACTGCAGCCTCAAACTCCTGGGTTCAGGCAGTCCTCCTGCCTCAGTCTCTCGAGTTGCTGGGACCATGGGTGTGTCACCACGTCCATTTAATTTTTGTATTTTTTTGTGGGGATGAGGTCTTGCTATGTTGCCCATGCTCGTGTCGAACTCCTGGCCTCAAGCAATCCTCCCACTTCAGCCTCCCAAAGTGCTAGGATTACAGGCATGAGCCACCACACCCAGCCCTTGGGTTTGCGTTGGAGAGAGCATTTTGAGATGCTCTTCAAACTTTACGCCCTCCTGACAAAAGGAGGCCCTTTTTCCTACTGCAGGTGCATCTACCTGCGTCCAGGGTGCCCTGCCATCCTCCACCCACCCACTCTGGCAAGGCCTGGGTGCCTCCTCCTTCCCTCTCTTGTTCCAGAGTTCAGTCAAGCCGGCTCCCTGCTGGCTTCTGTGCCCTGGCCACAAAGCTGCTGCCTTAATGCCGCCTCCCACTTGCGGTCTGGGCCTAGCACTCACCCTCCTCACTGGGGCTTCTGTCCCTTCTGACGCTCTGTCCACGGGGCCACCTAAGCCATATAGAAGCTAAGCTCTAGCACTCTGGGAGGCTGAGGCGGGAGGATCGCTCAAGGTCAGGAGTTCGAAACCAGCCTGAGCAAGAG